TATGGGCAACCCTGTACATATTGCCAAGCTCGGACTATATTGGCTACTTCCTTCGCTGTATGTGAGATATGTGACAATTTTTAGAAAATGTTAAAATGTGCATGAGGCGTATCGCAATTTATGACAGATAAAAGTATTGCAAATTGTGACCCTCTGTGGGTAAGGTACCAGAAGGGGTTCGTAGCTATATAAAATCTTCACAACAGTTCTTGTGTTAGGAAAAATATTTGTATGTGTGAAATTTGAAGAGAGTTGGATGCTTATTTTGCTTTCTATGAGAGTTTTGTATTCCAAAATCTTGAAACTTTTGTGGGGGAGGTACCCGAAGCAAGGGTCCGACCTCTACCATCTTTATTACAGACCTTGTGTTGATAGGAATATTGAGATGTACCAAGTCTGAATGAAATCAGATGTTAATCTTGCGTTTTATGAGTTTCATGGATATTTAAAATTTTGACCCCTTATGGGGCAGGTACCAGAAGGAGTAGACTAATGTATTCTATATTCACACCAGACCTTGGGTTAATAAAATTTTTTTGATAATCAGATTCTTACAACACATTTTAAAAGAGTTAAAATTATTCATAATTTTGACAACTTTTGGGGAGGTAAAAAAACTGCAACCAATTTAAGACTGATGCCATTTCTAAGCCACTCGTCCGACAGTTGTTAAAATTATTCTAGTGACAGCTCATTATATTGTTTACAAGCGTACATAAGCATTTTGGTGAGAATTTTCCACTAAAAAGTCATTCGTGATGGAATTCAAGCGTGATAGTGTGATTTCTTTATATTTGGCTGGAAAACCACAAGTGGCTATCGTTAGAGCACACTAGCATTTAAATGTGAATAAATCTTTTGTCTCCTACCATCGCTCGTTACCGTAGTACTGGTAGCGTAGCCCGACTGAAGAAAACAGCAACATCGGCAGAAATGGTCCGAAAAGTAAAGAAGCGACTTGACCGAAACCCTCGTCGCAGTGACAAGGCCGAAAAATGGCTCGTGAGCTGAACATATTGCGATATTCCATTCGGCAAATATTTAAAAATGAGCTCGAGGTAAAGCCAATGAAACTCCAAAAAGTGCAAGAACTTACACCGCAGCAGAAAGAAAATAGACGCAAAAGAGCCAAAGAGTTGCTTCGCTTGGCCGAAAGTGGTGAACTGCCGAATTTGGTTTTCTCCGATAAACAAAAAACATTCGTTGTCCAGCAGTTTGTAAACAAACAAAATGATCGTGTTTACTTGCCAAAGAGGTCAGCTGAAAATGTGCACCTTCGGTTGATGGTGTGGGCCGCCATAACAGCCGATGGTCGCTCTCCGCTCGTATTAATCGAACATATTTTGGAGGGTGTATTAAAGCGTTGGGCACGCAAACATTTTGGCCGCAGACCTTGGGCATTCCAACAGTACTCAGCACCATCGCACTCAGCACGCGCCTCCCAAAAATGGTTACAAAATGAGGTTCCTCGCTTCATTTCCAGCTTCCAATGGCCACCAAAATCTCCAGATACCACTCCGATAGACTATCGTGTCTGGAGTATTTTGGAAAGCACGGTTGGCACTAAAAATACCAATGTGTCGATTACCTTAACCAAGCGCTTCGCCGGGAATGGTCCAAAATACCGCAGAGCAACATTCGGGCAGCGTGTGACGGTTTCATTGGCCGATTGAAAGCCATAATTCGTGCCAAAGGTGACCAATTCGAACAAATCTAAACTTATTCTAAAATTTGATGCTATTTCCGACATTTTTTGCTTTCATTTAATTAAATTTAAAAAAAATGTCAAAATTATGGCATTTAACTTTGTTGCAGTATATTTATCTCACCCTGTTATGGAGTGGACCGATATTGTCCATTTTCACACCTGACCTAGCATTGATAGAAATATTGGAATGTGCAAAGTTGGAATAAAATCGGATTATCCTTTCTCTTTCTGTTGAGTAAATTGCTTTTTGTTTGAAATTTTCAACCTATTTTGTGGGAGGTAACAGAAGGAGTGCACCGATATTGTGCATCTCCGAACTCGATCTAAGTTTGATAATAATATTACGATGTACCAAGTTTGGATCAAATCGGATACTCCTTTCGAAAGTTGTTGCGACGAACGGACTTCGCTAAATCGACTTCAAATATCTTGAAACGGATTTTATCCAAAGAGACCTAGGGTCTAAAACCGTCGTTTCGATGAGGCACGTTTGGTCATATAAAATGACATATACCCTCTCTAGCCATATGGGTATAATAAGAATTAAGTACCCTATATAATTTAAAGTAATGGTAATATTTATCAGACTTATGGCAAGAGCCATCATCGAAAATATTAGCCTTAGACTAGCTTGCAAATGACAGGATATAAGGATATTGATCCAAAAGTGCAATAAAAATACTTAATCCCAAAACTAATAAATACTTTTCGAATGAGAATCTTAAAATTTTGCATGTAGGTTATATTGAGGTGAGATATAAAATAGTGTTTTTTGGAAATTAGTACCGATAGGTACTAAAAAGTACTTAAAACAGATCTAGTATTTTATATTTTAAGGCCAGAATATTGAAATATTGCATTTATTTGAGTAGATAGTAGAGTATCCAATAATTCGGGTTTAGGGGTTGTTCGATTAAAAAAATCGATTCTGGGGCTTTTCATTTGTTCGATTAATCGATTAAGAGTCTTAAGTTGTTCGAATAATTCGATTTATCCAATAAGTCGACAACTCGAATAATTTCTGTATAGCTTACGGATGAAAAAATAAGTTTAATGTTGTAGTATGTTTATTTACAAAAACAAGTAAAAAAAACATTTAGTTCGGCCGGGCCAAACTTTTAATACCCTCCATTTTAGGGTAAAGGAAACATTAGAGCCTATTATGACCCGCATATACCTCCCGAATATCGGGAGGTACCTTTATAGGGGGGCTATACCAAAGCGTGGACCTATACACGCAATGTTTCGCTAAAGGAGCTAGAACCCATTAGGACCTACAAATACCCATTTTCAGACAAATCCGTGAAAAAAATGTGGAATAAATCATCAAAATACCGAATATCGGGAGGTACTGTTATATGGGGACTATACCAAAACGATATGTCTCATATATCTCTCAATATCAACCATCCTGTACACAATACAAATTGCTCTGCTAAATTTTGGCGCTCTACGTCAAAAAATGTGGTCTGTATCGTGATTTCAACAGACAGACATCGTTAAATCGACTTAGAATTTTATCTTGATTATGAATATATATACTTTATGGGGTCTACGACGAATATTTAAGGATGTTACAAACGGAATGACAAAGTTAATATACCCTCCTTTCCAAGGTTGAGGGTATATAAAAAAAAAAAAACATTGAAACCTAAAAACAAACACAAAATAATAATTCATGTGAACTCAACAACGTTAAAAAAAAACACAAAATAGTCTACTCAGATCTTTTAAAAATAATATTAAATTTGTTTATTTATTTAGTTATAGAACCAATTGTGACTTTAGCAGATGTTATTGGTTCTTCATCCATAGTAGTATTATGTGCTTGGTGCAAATGATAAATAAGGAGAAACAAACACAATTGGTAACATTTGTGTTTTTATATTTTCCTTAACAAGTGACTGAATTAAATTTATATTTATTTGATATAAATTCTAAATTTTCTTCAAATGAATGTGCGTCATGAAAGTTAGCCATAAACTTATAAGTTTACAAAAGCCGCCATCGGTTAGACAAGGCCGATCAGCCACGGTATTACATTTATATAAAAAAACATGTCAGCGATTCTTTTTAAACTATGTATGTCTCCAATGTTTGTCTAAACTCGAGATCTGATGTGAATGTAGAATTTTCGACCTATCCTCTTGATACTTCCCCAAATAGGGGTTAAAGTCAAATGTCATAAAATCAACAAATAAAAAAGCTCTACGTTCGGCCGAGACAACCTTTAAATGCCCTCAACCATTTGGTACCAGTTTGGCAATTTTCAAAAAATTAAAATCCATTAAAAATTCTTTTAAGTTGTGTATGCAGGTACGACGGAATACTCAATTTTGTCGTAAGCCTGCACAGACAATTTTCTGGCATAGGTCAATTTTCTGTTTTAGGCTGCAGTATCGATTACAAACTTTAAATACCAATTTTGAAACAATTCCGGTAAATAATGTTGCTAAAATCATCAAATTACCGCATATCGGAAGCTACCGTTATATGGGGGCTATACGGTGATGTGGACCTACATGGCCCATTTTCAATACCAAAAGTCCTGCAGACATAATACACATACGAGTACTTCATTTCGTTTGGAAGCTAGAGTGATTTCCACAGACGGTCAGACGGACGGACATTGTTAAATCGACATAGAATTTTATTATGATCAAGAATATATACTTTGTGGGGTCTAAAATGTATATTTCGAGGTGTTACAAACGGACTGACAAACTTAATATACCCTCCATACTATGGTGGAGGGTATAATAAGAATTTATTTTAAATATCTTCGATCGATTAATCGGTTTGAATTGATCGATTATTCATTATTCGAAATTTACTAATTTTTCGTAATCGAAAAAATTATTCGAAAAATTCTCCGATTAATCGAACAACGATCGTTTACTCTAGTAGATAGTAAGGTCGCCATATATTATTGTTAGAAGATTATTTCATGCAAATGTTGACCGCAGCTACGCCTTGGGGTTCAATGTTGGGTTCAATTATAGTAATATTTTACTACGCACTACTGCAATATTGAGTTGTGATTCTATCAGGCACATTTAAATGTTTTGTTTTTTAAATCCAGCCAGTTTATAATATTTTATAAATACCGTTTGTAATCATTAAATTCGTCAAAAAAATTCCAAAAATGTTGCCCTAGGAACATTCACTATTTCAAGTAGATTAAATAACAGCAATCCCTCCCCCATTCATGCCATGTGGCACTTTCCCAACTCACCTGCATTTTTGCGTTTTCTAATTTCCTTGTTTCCCTTACTTTTCCTTGTTATTTCAGCTTTTACCAATTCTCAGCAAATACAACCAGCACAGAGGCAAGAAGGAGTAACTCAGTTCGCAAATGCCACAATAGAATCTCTGAACACAAGGAGACGGTAAGTTTGCAATCAATTGAATAGATTGTTTTCAATTAATTTCGATTAGGGTTAGGAACTTGTGCATGCATTGACTGCACTTAGTTAAGAAAATGTTTGCCCGGAATTGCTAACACAAAAGCTGATGATATTGGGTAACATGTATTAGCTCGTGTAGCAGAAAATCTCAGTCGAATAGTCGATTCAATGGAAATAAACAAAAGGAAAAATCTATACACCTCCGCTTATCTTCTTCGCAGTTTAGGTATCGCTTTGCGGATGCCGGTGGATGCTTTATAATACTTCTTTCGGTAACAACAAATGAAAACAAGGACTCATCCATATAATTTTGTAATTTTTTATCGACTAGTTTTGATATTTGGTCTTCATATCAAATTTCAGAATTCCAGCTCTATTCTAAGAACCAATCCCAAATCTATTACCGTACCTTTGTGTACATTTATACTACGCATTTCCAAAAACCACCTAATTCTCCCCACCCTAGACACCAACAGTGACCTCAATACCAAATTTCAGAATGTCTTTCCCAACACCAAACGGTACATTTTGCACTCTTCGTACTTTCATAGTACGCATTTATAAAATCACCTCTATCTTTCAAATACAGACACCAACCGAGACATCCATAACAACCTTCAGGATTACAGCTACACCCAATACTAAATATTGCAGCATTTAGTACAATTTTTCAGGAATCTAGCTCTATCCCTCCATCCAATACCAAATTTGGTAGCATATAGAACTTTTCGAACAATTATAGTACGCATTTTGAAAACAATCTCCATACCTCAACCTCAGATAGCAAAATCAAATTTTAGGATTTCAGCTCTTTAATATCTTCTATTACCAAATTTAGTACCATCTCATCCCTATAGGACTTACATTTGTCTATATAGGTCCACAATATCGTTTATCCCCCCATATATCGACAAATTCCGATTTTAGGTATTTTAAAGGTTTTAACAGAATTTTTAATGGATTGTATTTTTTTGAAAAAATTAATGAAGTGTGAATTAATAAGAATTTTAAAATGGCCATAACTCCTTAAATATTGAATTTTCGGCGTTTTTAGCTATTATTTGTGATCACTTTTTTAAGTGTGAATTAATCAATATTTTAAAATGGCCATAACTCCTTAAATATTGAATTTTTAGCTATTATTTGTGATCTACTTTTCACGTTTGAATTAATCAATTTTAAAATGGCCATAACCCCTTAAATATTTAGTTTTCGGCGTTTTTAGCTATTATTTGTGATTACTTTTTTAGGTATGAATTAATAAGAATTTTAAAATGGCCATAACTCCTTAAATATTGAGTTTTCGGCGTTTTTAGCTATTTATTTCTAATTCGTTCCAAATGGTGAAAGGTATTAAAAGGTCGGTCTGGCCGAACTTACAACTTTTTAACTTGTTCGCTCTCAGCTGAGGGTTTAAAAAAACGCACAAACTTATAAATAAATCATCAGTGTGACAAAATCTAAAAGGACACTCGAAAACGAGTTTAGAAAAATATACCACACTTCGGAGGTATGATTTTACAAAATATGAAAAAAGACATGGTGCTCTTTCTCTGTACAACAATATTCGTGTTTGACCTTCATCTGTAGGTTAAAGAAAATGTTATTAGAATTGAATAAGTAAAAAGACTGTAAGTTCGGCCTAGCCGAACTTTGAATTCCCTCCACCATTTGGATTGAATTTGGCAATTTTCAAAAAAAAATAAATCTGTTAAAAATTTTATTGAAATCTTGTAAGACCGAATGTAGCCATTATATGAGGGTCTATACGACGAGGTGGACCTGCATAGGCAACTTTACATGAGCTATTACAATATTCAAATGCGAAACTTGAAAAAATGTAGTTAAAATCATTAAAATACGGAATATAGAGAGGTACGATTATATGGGGGCTATACCAAAACGTGGACCTGCACAGACAATTTTCTGTCTAAGGCTGTTGTATCCATTACGAACTTCAAATACCGAATTTGAAACAATTCCGGCGATCGGGAGGGGGCTATACGAAGACGTGGACCTGCACAGACAATTTTCTGTCTTAGGCTGTAGTATCCATTACGACCTTCAAATACCAAATTTGAAACAATTCCGGTGATCGGGAGGTTCCCTTATATGGGGGCTATACTAAACCGTGGACCTACATGGCCCATTTTCAATACCAAAAGTCCTGCAGACATAATAAACATTTGAGTAAAATTTTATCAAACTACTTCATTTCGTTCGGAAGCTAGAGTGATTTACACAGACGGACGGGCATTGGTAAATCGACATAGAATTATATGCTTAGCAAGAATATATATATATATATATATATATATATATATATATATATATATATATATATACTTTGTGGGGTCTAAAACGGAATGACAAGCTTAATATACCTTCCATACTATGGTGGAGGGTATGAAAATTCACAATGTATTATTCACATATGTATTAATTATATAAGGTGGTTTGATCTAAATCTCTACTTTATGTGGGGACATCTATTCCAGGAACTGCAAAGCTATAATTAAACCCAAAGTTCTTTGCGAATTAAAATATTTCCATAAGACATTTAAATTTCTATTCCTATGAATACTGAAAAAAAAAACTAATCTTGAAATCCTAGCAATTGTCTTTTTTGTAAGTATATTAATGTAACTACACACACACACACTCACACAAGGCAAACACATTTGTACCGAAAAAATGCATATTTGCATTGCCGAAATGAATTCCCTCGAATTTCGTCAATATTCCGAGTTCGGGTGAACAAGTGTTGGGCGGTGGGTGGTGTAGGTGTAGATGTATTTGTCATGGCATGACATTCATTCTCCTTAAATGTTGCCCTGGCAACTCTTGTTTAAACTCAATTGCATTTACAATGTTGTCGTTTGTTGTTAGCTGCCTGGGCTGGTTGGATGGCTGACTGGCATTTCTTGGAAGTTGTTGGGTGTTGCATGAAACACTTTATTTGATTTGGAAATCTAGTGTTGTTGCCTGGTTTAGAGCTCCAATGAAAAAGATGTAAAAACTACTTTGAACAACAGCAGGACAATAACAACAATTCAACGAAAAGAGAGGCAGCAAAACAAGAGAATAGGACAAAACTCAAAAAAAAAGAAAGTCTGACAAAATTACAGTCGGGAAAAAGCCAAACTTTAAATGAGTTTTTCTCCATTCTCTTGCAGTCCTGGTTTTCATTTTTGGGGTTTCAAATGCATGCAATATGTTGGTAGTGTTTTGCCACACATAAACCAATAGCCCGCAATGGAGAAACGAAGGAGAAACAATGTGAGGTTTTTTTTTGTACGTATGTGTATGAACATATTTTGTAGCAGTATTTGTGCCTGTTTCTCTCTATGTGTGTGTGGATATCTGACAATGCACCACACCACTTCTGCAAAACTCTGTCAGCCACACTAAAGCAGCGATGAATAAAAAAGCACGTCTCTCACCTAGAATGAAAACATTTAATATTATTTTATGCTGTTTGCCAAATCCCACTTGCTTTTTATTGGGCTAGAGTTTTTTGTTTTTTTTTTTTTAATATTGTGCATGTCTCCCCCACCATTCTGCATTTGCATTTAGTTTATTTCTAAAACCAGTAAGAAGAAGTCAAAAGTCGGGCGGGCCGTCTATATGATACCTTTAACCACTATGGATATTAAGTAGAACTCCCGTAACAAACGAATTTATTTGAAGTAGATCATACCACTTATCAACATTTGGCTTTAAAGCATTTATACTTTGGTTTCAGAGGGAACTAATATTTGATGGAAAATTTAATCTTTTATACCAAATAACATTGCTATAGAGTGCTTGATATCACTTCGAAAAGGATTTTATTAAAAAAAAAACAAGTAAAAAAGCTGTATGTTCGGACGGGTCGAACTTAGAATACCCTCCACCATTTGGTACAAATTTGGCAATTTTCAAATGAATAAAATCCGTAAAAAAATTCTGTTAAAATCTTAAAAATACCGAATGTAGCCGAATGTATATTAGGGTCTATACGACGACATGGACCTGCATAGGCAACTTTTGTCACAGGCTATTACAATATTCCAATGCGAAACTTAAAAAAATCTGTTTATAATGTAGCTAAAATCAACAAAATACCGAATATAGGGAGGTACCATGTGGGTTATAAAACGTGGACCTTCACAGACAATTTTTTGGCATATGCTGTAGTATCCATTACGAACCTCAAATATCGATTTTGAAACAATTCCGGTGAATAATATCGCTAAAATCATAAAAATACCGAATATCGGGAGGTACCGTTATATGGGGGCAATACGAAGACACGGACTTGCACAGACAATTTTCTGTCATAGGCTGTAGTATCCACTACGAACATGAGATACCAAATTTGAAAGAATTCCGGAGAAAAATGTCGCTAAAATCAACAAAGAACCGAATATCAGGAGGTACAGTTATATGGAGGCTATACGAAGACGTGAACCTGCACAGACAATTTTCTGTCATAGGCTGTAGTATCCACTACGAACATCAAATACCAAATTTGAAACAATTCCGGTGAATAATGTCGCTAAAATCATAAAAATACCGAATATCGGGAGGTACCGTTATATGGGGGCAATACGAAGACATGGACCTACATGGCCCATTTTCAATACCGAAAGTCCTGGAGACATGACACACATTTGAGTAAAATTTTATCAACCTACTTTATTTCGTTGGGAAGCTAGAGTGATTTCCACAGACGGACAGATGAACAGACGGACGGACATTTCTAAATCGACATAGAATTTAATGCTGATCAAGAATACGTATACTGTGTGGGGTCTAAAATGTAAATTTCGAGGTGTAACAAACGGAATGACAAACCATACTATGGTGGAGGATAAAAAAATATATGTCGGCGCCGAGTTCCACAAAATGGAAACGTACTTCCGGAAATTCAATCCATTTGGGCTGAAATTGGTCATTATGTGCACAATAAACCTGAAATCGGAGTAAGGATATATGGGAGCTATATCCTAATCTCAACCGATCTCAATAAAATTTAGCAAATGTATTTCCAAGTTTTATAAGATATCTGTTGCCAAATATCCTTATTGTCAAATGCATATTACCAATGTGAGAGATTTAAACACCAAATCGGATGAATCTTGTATATGGGAGCTATAGCTATATCTGAACCGATGTTCACCATATTTTATGTACTTGCTTCTAGACTAAATTAGGTCGGATATACCAAAATTCAGGACTTTTGGACTAATATTGGCCATTTTGT